AAGTGCCGTAATGTGCATCTCTGCATAACCCATCGGAAATAGAAGACGTAATGTTTTTTGATAGTTACAGAGGGTTCGATTAACTGAAAAAGAAGAGTGGATATTTCCTCAAATAGTTTTCGAGAGTAAGTCGTATATTTATTAGTCAATTCAAAACCGTACTCAAGCCAATTTTGGTAGATGTTCACATAAAGCATAATTAAGCATTCACTACTGACTAATTCTGATATCAAAATGCAGACTGCAACTAACTTAAGTCTGCTTAACGTCTGTCTGAGTAACACGTTATTTATTCATCAGAATATTGCATCGCCAGCACTACCTTTAAGTCCCATTTGCGCTATTCAATTTTGCATGCAAACGCCACACGACCTCCACCATAATCTTCATGTGGCTATTATAGTTTGTCATAAGCTGAGATTACCATCAATATATAAACCATTACTGCTAAAATCTATGGCCGTCCTATGGTCAGCTATTATTAGGATTAACCCCCCGATAGGACGCGCATTTAGGCGCAGCTAGGGTAGCGCATTGTGGGGGGGGGGGGGATATGTGTGGATTCAACTAGGATCAGTTACATTTTTAAAGAGTTTTTAGTTTTTTGGTACTTGATTTGTTGTTGTTAGGTTAAATAATCGTTTTTAATTGCACGTTAATTATTTTGCAATGAGATATAGCAAAGTATAATTTAATGATAACAATTAGTTATCAAAATAAATAAGCATGTAAATACTACACCGACTTCATTATATTGTTTCAGAGTTCAAACAGAGTTTTTAATAACATCTTTAGAACAAGACGAATCCGTTTTAAAATCGTTTGCGTATTTTTAATACTTCCTTAAATTACTTACGCTTACCATCTTATAGTTGCTAAGTAAACGGTCTCATTGATCTGTACAGCCTCATCTTTCGACTTGCTTCTCAACTTTCGACTTTATGTCAACTAATATTTTAGTGCTTCATTGCTCTTAAACAAGTAAACTAACTGACAACGTCTAGAGAGTACTTAATGGATCGGAACTCTGCTCAAAGACACTTTAGTGCAATGTTAAAAATTCATTAACTTGGCCCAACTTAGGAATCATACACGACGATAATACTGGCGACCATTCGATCAAAGCAGTAAAATGTTTAATTAAAGATCAAGAAAAATAATAATTCAATAAAAAAAATTACAAGGCATTAAAACTCTTTAAATCATTAATAATTCATTCACCCATCATTTGTTACCTCTGTTTAATAAACTCGAGTAAATAGAATACCTGTATTTATTATTGACATGGAATATATCACGTCGACGGTAATTATTAGTTGTAGCCCCATGGACGAAGTTTCTAATCGAGGCCTTACCAATCATGTCCATAGAGGCAATTAAAGGACTGATTTTATTGTATCGAATACAAACCTTTCGAATATCACGCCACAAATTAATATTGATCAATTCTTTGACAGACATTAATTTGTGGTCTTCTCAAGTCTTCGTATTCCGTTCACACATGAGGCGGTGCATTTTTTCCTACTCTAAAAAAGTCTAGCCACTATCAGTCAGTTTGGGAAAGTTAACGATGGGACTACCATATACACACCATTTCATAGATATCGAGACTATAATGGTTTCTTCGTCATAAGTCTTTCGAAGACTGGCAAAGGAACTCCTTAGAGAAAAATAGTATACTTGTTTTGATTGCTTTATTGTCCAAACCAACCCACGAAATAAACAATGAACATATCTTTTAGTGGACAACCGACATTGGTCTTCGAATACTCTACGGAACTCTTCAAAAAATAACGGTCTATTGATTCTGGTTTGGCTAATGTCTTTATTAAGGTAGAATGATCTTTGTTAGCGAGAAGTTAGTTGGTCAACTCCTTTGGTAACCTTGGATGCTTCAATAATAGGTTTATTTGAAACTTTAGCAGTGAAAAATGTGATGCTTGTTGTACGACTTTAGGGTTGAATTCTTTGCCATATTATTATCATTATTTTACCTTTCAATTATTTTTCTGATTTATGGAAAGTATATAGACTCAGCAGTGGAATTGAGTAGTGTTCATTTAGTTTCGAAATATCTGTTGTAAGGTTCATTATGAGATGAAATAAAACACATTTTGGGGCCCGTTATATATTGATAAAGACATTAAACATTTGATTACATTAATTTGATTAACATGCTACATTTGATTATAATGCGATTAAATATGTTATTACACGTATTGATTAAACATTTAGCTACAATTTTTGATTAAATATTTTGCTATAAGTATTGATTACATATTTTGCTACATTTATTAATTAAACATTTATTCGACTACAATAAGATCTGGAATATACGAACTATGTTTTATGACCTAAATTAATCTTAGTGTAAAAATACATCAGTTCTGGAAAAATGCAAGCGAGCCTGAGCCCTGAATTAATCGAAAGGATCAATTGCATTATTCCGCTTTATTTTCTCCATTGTAATTTACGCACGGACAGATACCATTTTCATTAAGCATTATGTATTAATAAACAATACAAATACAGAACGCATTTATAAAATATTTCACAATTAAGATGTTGAAGACACGATCACAACGTATTGTACACACGGCTACACATCGAGCTTTACATAACCAGTATAAACTGAACGTTAAATGTGCGGAAAGATGATGCGACGCGACACCAGGATAAACTGGTTTTGTATAGGTTGATGTGTGGCCGTGTGTACGTATAGTGGATAGAATTTATTATTAACAAATGCGTTCCAAATTGTATCCTCGCAAAATAATTTGTCTTCTTCATAATGTAGCAATTTCTTATAACATCGATGTAAATATTCAGACACGTCACCATTTACCAAAGTTATTTGATTGCGTCTAGTAAGTAACGATTTTTTTGTACTTTTTTAAATAAATTTTTTGTTAACTTACTTTTTATGATCGCCTTCAAATAACTGGTTTTCTTGTAACATGTATATCGATTTTCAACCCGCAAACATGGATACAAAAATATTTTGTGTAAATAGCTGTATTTTGTTGTAAATAATCATATTTTATGTAAATAACTGCATTTTATTTTATAAACTCTCAATAAACCTTTGCTGATCAAATTGTGTGTATTTTTTTATGTTTCTAATTCTACCTTTTTATCTACTAGTTACCTACGTTTCATTTTTTTTTGGATTTTTATATTTTTTTCACTTATTTTTATTCTTTTTTCATTTTTTTCACTTTTTTTGTTAGTTTGCTTTTCAATAATTTTTACATATTTTTTTTTCATTTTTTAACATAATTCGATCAGCACAAATTTTAACAGCAACTCAATATCGACATATATGGATGGACAAGGTTAGTAAGTACCTTTTGTATGAATGTTACAGTGACGGCGTCATAGCAGTTGTATACAGGCTCATGTATACTAGAACCACTATGACGTCGATCACTACAATCACTGGGGCCTATTTTTTTTATAAAAATACACACGACAGTAGACCAATTGCAGTCCATCCACTAATCTTTTCTATCCGTAATGCTGCCGTCGTAAATAACAAACCTTTTTTTGTATTTTTTTCATATTTTTTTCATTTCTCTGGATAGGATAGACAACAATCAGCCTGATCTGTTCGCATTCTGCGTAAATTGTACTTCTGTTACTTCATTCACAGTTTAGCACCCTTACAAACTCATGTATTCTTACTTTAGTCTACTTTCGACTTATAAGTTAACTTATGGATAACTATGTATTTTAATTTTAATTTAAGCAACAATTACTACTGAATATATTAGTTAGTATAACATAATTATGCCTATATTCACTCCTAGCAAGAGCGCTGATGTGCAATACGCACGGCTCTTGCTTCTCCACTCTGAACGCCCAATGCAGGCAAATCAGAGATGAAAGACCCTTCCTCGTCTCTTCATTTTTCACTCCAGACGGCCAATTAAGGCGAGCTGGAGATGAGGAACGACGGTTCTCCCGGGAGCATTCGGTAACTACAGACCCATGGGGCGGGGCCACCCCATCACCTTAAGAGTTACCTGCGTTCTGATTATAACTAAGTACCTATTGATAAAATTGATTACAGTGGTATTTTAACTATTTGAAGCATACTACAGAAATTATTGTAAATAATCTTTGCACAGCCATGTGATGAACTAACGGTTCTCCGTTTTGTGTTATCTATATTTAATTTACTAAAAATCTAAGTTATTATGGACTAACATAATTATGGATTCTTAAATAAAATGCTCAAAAGCTAAGACGCGGTAAATTATAGATTTAGAAACCGAATGGCTGGCGAAAAATAGTCAAAATTGATAGTTTTGAAATCATAAAATGTTTTTGATATTAGATTGATCTATTGCTTTTTTGTGAATATACCAGTTCAGTTACGAACGCCATCGGATTCGACATCGTCATCATCCGGGAAAACATTGTAACTGTAAATATGATTGGTTTTGAAAATTTACATTTGCGTCGTCAGATGCGTGTCAAAAGATTTAATGCCAGACGAAGAAGTCGTGTAAGCATAGTACTATGAGCTAAATGGCATTTAAACGGTAATCGATCGAGAGAAGAGAAAACTCAAAGTATGGGATTGAAACTGACGTTATGTCAAAATGTAGGTCAAGTCCATACATTGAGGTTTTTATTCTCTTGGTCGACTATGCTTTGAATGCCATTTGGCTAATAGGGCAGTTCTCACAGGATCATCTTATCAATGATCTTGTCCCAACGCATCTTCAAACGCTTCTGTAAATCTGCATTCGGAGCTTAAACCTAACGGGCCCCATTTTTTTTTTGTTTTTTGTATTTTTTTTGGTCTCTACGGTACCTATTTTAAGATAATACATATTAATTTTATCCTTATTTCTAAAAGTTACTTACGTTCCATTAATTAAATTATGTCTAAGCCCTTAATGCGTTACGTTTAAGCCTTATTTTATAATCAAAATATATAAACATATGTTAATAATAGGTGATAAAACTTTTCTTTATTTAATTTCTTCTTCTAATAATAAATCGTCCAAGACTGTACATTAAATATTTTTCTACGATTCTACATTTTCTAATAAGAACCTGGAATATATTCTAAAGATTTTTAATTAAATATTAAGTTATTTTAAATCAGAGTACCGTTTAGCAAACCAAGGTCAAATTTTCATAGATTGCTTTGGGCGTCTTCTTTAGCCCGCAGGAAATATGTAATCATATCGATGGGAAGGGGAAAAACGATGGTGGAGTTTTTCTCTGCGGAAATGGTGTTCAGAGTCTGAAACAATATTTTTTGTTATACCTTTGAGCCTAGAATCCCACCTATAATTATAATAATTATCCTAGCGGATAGATGCCAAATACTTCATGCTACATAAATACTGAAGTAAGTCCCCAGGTGGGACTTATTTCTACTTATTTCTTTTTATTTATGGAATCACAGGTACGAGATCTTATCAAAACCTGTGTTTCTCTTTCAGCATGTGAGTGAGTCATTGAAGAACTAATCTCATCCCTTCTCTGATATTGCGGGTATAAATTAACAACGACCATTGCTTACTATCCCGTGCGCCGTCCATTCATTTGCCGCCTCGTACAATAATAAAGTCCAGTCGTGTTATCCACCTTTCTAAGAGACAGAGCTGCCTTACCTGTAGATAGCGTAGTTGTAGTGCGGCAGGACTGTCTCCGATGACCTCAGAGGCCTCCCGTAGGGCCCGTGAGGCCTTTTGCTCTCCCTCCGCGGCGATGACTTTTGCCCTAGCTTCCCTTGCAGCCTCAGCTTCAGCGGCCATAGCGCGCTGAAGCTGAACCGGCAGACGCACGTCTTTGCTATTGAAATAATAAAATAATATTCATCTTTGTTCTCTGAAATAATGTTCTGATAAGAGCGTCTATTAATAAAGTGGCATTTCCTCACGCCAGTGTTTTAAAATTAGCCTGATGAGACTTAGCTTATCTGACTACATTGAGAAGAAGAACCGAAAGCTGTTAACTTGATTTGTTGTCAGAAGTCTGTCAATTATTATAATTATGTACTTTCTAAAAATAGAGTAGTTAAAACTTTCATTTAACAGATATAGATAACTAAAAATACCACATTCTGCCCGCATAATCAAAATATTCGCGATATTTGCAAACATGGCGAGTTCAGTGCATATATCCGCAAACTGATTGCATTCTTTGTTCCAAATGATGCGCGTTGAGCCCGCATGGTAGTAGTGACACGTGTGACACACGACATATTATCTCCTCGACAGCCGTACGTAACAAGCTGATGTTACTTAAATATGTGAAATAACACACTTGATACTTCATGCATTGTTGCATTCAGTTTTATATCGCAAATAAAACGTATTTTTGTGAGTTCTTTTCATAAAAGTAATGTAAAATCAAAATCAAAATAATGTCATAGGGCATCCCCTATGCCATCGCATTATTTTGATTTTCTACTGTTTTCATTTTGTAAAAACAATCAGCATTTTTACTTTCACTGGCTTTCTACTACAGTTCGGCGAATTAATATTACGATATTTAGGTTTTTCGCTTAGAGTATTAACTAACTAAGGTTTTTCGAAACCTTCTAAGTGAAATCGTCACTGAAAAATTAGAAGACTGATAACACAACTGCTGAAAAGTGACTGTGACTTGTGCATCTTTACCCGGCTTTCGGGGATTAATAAGAATGTTTTATAAAGTTTAAAGTAATACTGTAAATGGACTCACATTTCGACGCGTTCCACCTTGATGCCCCAGGCCTCCGTGGCCTCATCAAGCGAAAGCTGCATGGTCCCGGAGATGGTCTCACGTTCGCTTAAGATCTCATGGAGCGGGCGTGTGCCCATAGTATTGCGAAGAGTTGTCTGAGCGAGGAGCCGAGTCGAGTGATGAGCGTTTTCCACATTAGCAATTGATATTGTAGCATTGTGGACCCGGTAGTAAACCACAGCATCTACTGATACGGTAACTGAGTCTTTGGTAAGGACCTGCAAATGGTAACTTTGGTAGATATGGTGAAGGACCTTACCTTTTTAAAGGTAAATTAATGCTACTTAGTGTATCTTTAATAAGTAAAATCATTGAGGTTTAAGCCTTGATATACATCAAACCATACGGTTTCAACCTTCTTCGCATTGCAATAAGTAGTATTACAACGTTGCAATGATGACGGTCTTCTGGGAAGGTTATCTTAAAATACAAATTTTTAAAACGAACTTTTAAGTGTGCGTACATGCAAAATCATTTTAAATAAAATTTTGTGGTAATGTCAATTACCTCTTGGGGCGGGATGTCATATGTCCTGGTTCTCAGATCCACGCGGGCATAGGTGTCAATACACGGCAAGATGAAGAAAATGCCTAAAATAAATAATAAAATATTATGTACACCATGATATAATATTAATATAACATGGTGTCACTCACTACCTCTGTACCTCACTATTAAGTGAGATTTTTACCTCATTTACAAAATTAGGGTGTCTGGAATTCTTATTCCAGACATCCTAATTTTCCCCCTAATGATTTAATAGGTATTAAATTTAGTAATACTTACCTGGCCCCTTCGCCCCTCCTGATAGAAGTCGTCCCAACCGAAAGATTACAGCCCGCTCGTACTCCTGTACCACCTATGAACAAAACAAAAACGTAAATGGTAAATATTATGCATTTTGGAGTTTATTATGTTGCATATTACACGAGTCATGGTTATTAAAATTACAATGTTTATAATAATATGGTCTAAAGTCGAGTGTATTATAGTACCTATGCAGTTGTAGTAACGCATAAGCCACTTTTTATCCTTAAAGCGCAGATATAGCCTGCAGGTGTAAGCTACAATTTATCTATTTGCAAAATATTCTTACAGCGCAAGCGATTGTAAACTAAACGGAGACTCTGTTTCTTTTAATTAATAAGGATTGGAAACCTTATTGATTTAAATTATCCGATACTGCAATTGTAATTGTCATTCCATATTACACAATAAACATTTATTTATAATAAGTATGACTCGAAGTGTTAAGTGTTGTCAAGTTACACAAAAAAAGTTAATATATAAAACTTTTTTATTATCTAATCCACAAACAGAATAGAATCTTTTCATACTGTTACACTGCCATTGTTACTAGTCCATATGGAGAACAATACGAATCATGTAAACGGAACCATGCAGGTTAAAAAAAACAAGCGCTATTTTAAAACAGATTCCACTAGCTCCATTCAATACGCAAGCTCGGTGAAAAGATTCGTGATAAAACCGTATGCATGTTATTTTTTAAAACATGTGAATGTATGAACGCGAAATGGAAAAATAACCAGCGCTGCAACCTTGTTTGTGCACCATCGGTTTGATGTGATTCAATAAAATCTATTCAACTGTAACCTCGTACTGAAATATGTGAGTGGCAAATCTTCGATGCAATAGGCTGCCAGTTTGATATCCGTTTGAAGTTAGAAAAGATTTTCTAGTAACTGAATATTTTATTCAATACATATCCTTTGAAAGGAACGTGGTACTTAGACGAGGCTATTTACATATTTACCGTTAGTGCTTATAAATCGATTTATTCAAACATTTTCTAGTCTATGTAGTGAGGGCAAAAGAAAATTTTGTTATTACATTAAATAAATAATAAACGTTAGCCAGCGTTCACATGCCATTGTCCGATTTGATACCGATATCATGACAGCTAGCTCGGACGCCCGTGGACTGTCAGACGACAAAGTTATCGTGCGAATAGTCATATCGAATTAACTACGATTTTATCGGTAATATGTGAAAACAACACTAAATGTCGATTAGTCAGATGTCGGCTATAATTATCTGATATTGGATTTGTTAATTTGAATACAGATTGTTTCTTCTTGAATATAAATTGGTGCTCATTTTCACATTTTGATAGTCAGTAATTATATTAATAAAGAAATGTTAATTGCATCTAGTCTATGTTTTAGATCCATCAGTTTAACACTGACCTATCCTAATAACAAATATCACTTCCGATTCTAGTAGCATGACTGTTTGCAAATCAATAATTTTGTTTGCACAATGCAAAGCTTTGAGTGCTCCACTCACGATCGAAATTACAACTTTACTTGACCAAGTGAATTTAACATCGGTGTTGGTACTGGGATCCATAATATATCGAATGTAGTTTCGCTGTCTTTATTTTGAAAGCCGACGTATAGATTGTGGTCGGTGTAGGAGAGAAACTCGGATCTCCCAATTACATAAATGTCATTACTAGGCACCCTATAGGATAAAAGCGTATGATACGCTTTTTGATCCTAACAGAATAAGAGACTAGCGGCAGTAGTAAATAGATTTTAAATGCAATAGGACTTATTTAAATATACATTTAGAGGATAAGTCATCCAATACCTACTGCCAACATGTTTGTAACACGGCACTTGAGACGGTTTGAAAATTAAGCAAGCTATGCTCATAGGTGTCGGAGATCTATGTAATTTTAACCTCCTTTTGTCTGATTGATGATGTTTATAAAGAAGTATGATGACTAGATAATATTCTGTTTTTATTTAAATAACAGATAACAAGGTCGTTACCATAGAAAAGTATGTTTACATGAATGTCGACCTGATTGTATTTGAATGGCTTTAAGAGAATTATGGCGGGCCAGTATTTAAATTGCTCGATTATACATAATTATCTTATTTCATTATAATAACAATTATTCTAAGTGCCAGTTAAATAGATAATTATCTTGTATACGTCGTTTGTTTCAGTTCTGTTAATTGAATGACTGACAAACAACAGCTAGGCTATAAGGGTTCATACGCACTATGCGGGTAGCCGCATTGAGGCTAGCCGTCCGGCTGACCGCAAGCAAAATTATGTACGTAATATTCATTTCTATGCGCACTGCGATGCGGATACCCGCAGTCCGCTCCGGTAGCTCGGAGGGCTGCGGCCCGAGTTACGGCCAGCCGGACGGTTGCTATACGTACTGTGCGGTTCTGTCTGCGGCTGCTCGCCATTGAGTGAGTGTGTGCACGTGGTACGTCTGGTAAAATGGAATTCGATGCTTGCTCTCTCGTGTTTGCAAACAAGGATGCACACAGTACTTCCTTTTGTTTTTTCTTCTTTATGTAACGTATGTATGTAATAAATAGCTGAAACTTCTTCCACGTCCATCTTTGAAATGGATCGACATGACCGCAAATCGCAACGGTTCTTCGACCGCACGTTGCGGTTGCGGATGCGGCTGTCCGCGATCCGGCTGGCCGCATTTGCACCCGCGTCCTGCGGTCAGCCGGACGGGTAGCCGCAATGCGGCTACACGCATAGTGCGTTTGAACCCTAAGACTATACATTTATACAATTTTTTTGCGTAGCGTATTACTGTATTACGATTGCCTTGTAAAAAGGGCTTAACTTATTCTCTCAGAACTTTAATTAAGACTTCTCATCATTACCATATTTCTATAACCATTAAAGTTATGTGTTGACCCAGGAATGGAACCTGAACTTGTGTGCTAAAAGATAGACGTGCAAAATTGATATCATATGAGGGCAAGTAATACATAAAAAATATATTTGATTCTTAACGGTTTTAATGGGCTTATACTGAATGGTCATCAAGATTAAGAGTGTGTACCAAATATTGGATCAATTTGTCGTTGAAGAAGGTAAAATTTCTATACAAAAATTGTACCCAAACAAACATGCGGAGTAAGCGAAATAATACCGTTTAAAAATCGGCATTGTGCCGTGTCTAACGCGAGACGGTGACATATATCACACACATAAACACATAGTGGACATACACAGCCTTACGTAGACTGGTCATATAGTGGTCGTGTTTCGTCCTATCGATTTATTTTACTCAGAATATGAACCTTTATGACGTGTCAAAAGGTTGTTATCTCTAATAGTTTAGTTATTAGTTGATGCCTTTGTAGGTTATTATTGTATGTTACGTTTAAAAAAAGGTAATTTTAATTTTGTAAAACAGTGGTTAGTTCAAGTTATCAAACTTATGTTTTGAAGGTACTACACCGGTTAATAAGTGTACTTTTTCTGAGGGTCGAATTGGAACCTACCGCCATCAAATTGTTACAGGCAGTTTGAATTGAAATTATTTTTATTGACGAATTGTCTTAGAAAAATAAACTATCTTTACTTTTTATTTTTAGCCATGATCGTCTTACTGCAGGACAAAGGTCTCCCTACCCTCTTTCTACTAACTTTACTTAACTAATAAAATTCAACACATTTTCAATACTGATTCCTGAAACACCTCACTTTCTCATTTTCTAAGTTTTTTACACTTATGTATGTAATTTTAACACCACAACTTTAGCTAAGTATACCCTATCCAATACCAGAACCACAGATATTGTTAGTTCGTAACTTCAGAGATCGAGCAACGAAGAACTTTCTGTGTCAGATATTGCTCGAGTATCAAGCTTTGAATTACTTCGAAGTTATGTTGTTCAGAACGTTTGGTAGATATGGCTTTTTTATTAAGAGGGAAATCTCATTCAATGACTTGGTGGGGTCTTGAGTGAGCTAAGAGGGAGTGTCAGAATCATACTGACTAAAAACCACCCTGTTCCTACTCCTACTCTTTGAGCCGGAGCCCTCAGGTAATGTTAATGTTCTCATTAACTGTCGGTATTAGTGATCGCTAGTAACTTTCAGATGTTCTATTAGATTGTACTAAAATACCGTTGATATTTTTTTATTTTTCTTATAGTGATGACAATAAGTACTAGCAAATTTTTCTTTTATTATTGTACTTAATTTGTACGTTCTATTTGTATTATGTTATATATTTAAACCGAATTTCTTGAATGGATGGGCAACCGGCTGCCGTGCACCGTGTCGCGGTTTCATTTCCCGCACGGAACAACACTTTGTGTAATCCACAAATTGTTGTTTTGGGTCTGTGTGTCATTGTGTATGTGAACTTGTATGTTTCTAAACGCACCCACGACACAGGAGAAAATCCTAAAGTGGGGCAATGCTTTATAGAAAAAAAAAACGAAATCCAAACAAAACTTCTGTTCATTTGCTGGTGTGTTCCTTCCAAAAGTAGTAAGTAGCCTTGATCTTGCAACCCTTTAATTAATTAATATGTTCGGATACCCGAAGGACAATATTTTCTCTTAGTATAGTGAGGGCTACGCTCAAAGGTGTGGGTCATACAAGAAGAGTATGGCGAATAAGTAAGATAGCGATAAGAGTTGAGTACAAACTGATGTAAAAGACATACACGTCAATTGATGCAGTGGCACCTCTTGCCTTGTGTTTGTTATAGAAAATGGGTAAGTATTGAGCGATTATTTCAGGGTGTAACGAAATGGTATTAATTTATTTATTTGTTTTTTGATTTTAATACTTATTTATTCTTTATATAGAATTCCAGGTTGATTGAATAACCTACTAAGAGACGATTTGATTGAAATCCTTGACGACTAATACTCATTTAGAAAATGAAATGCCTTATAACTACTGTCCGACGTTCGCACTTACGCGAGGATCAAACTAGCGATGAGGGTCACTATGCGTTTCTGTAAAACTAACCACTGGTGTCTTCATATGCTATGTGTTATACGGTAGCCATGATACATTAATATATAGTTGTTCAATATATTTTTAATTGTTTAATATACTCGATAGTAGATTGACATTAAAGGATGCAATTGGTCCTATAAATGTTTAATACGAAGCTACGCATATGGTCTCTGGACGAGGGTGTGTGAGGCGAGAGTAGGACTTTATAAAGCGAGAGTGAAATATTAGCGGCAGCGAGCGAGGCCGAGTTGCGTGATAAGCGCAACCGTGATTAATACAAGGACGCTTCAGCGATTTCACTATGAACTAGCCATCTGTCTGTCCCTATGTATGCTTAGATCTTTAAAACTACGCAACAGATTTTGATGCGGTTTGTGTTTAATAGATGGAGTGATTCATAAGGAAGGATTTTAGATATATACATATTGCACCCGTGCGAAGCCGGGGCGGGTCGATAGTGTATTATTAGTAGTTTCTGCGCTAGTTTCTCACAAGTGATTATTGTTCAATACCACTGTCTACATTGATGCTCTTTTGTTTTCCTTGCCTACTAATTATGCAACTACCTGTATTGAACTCAAACGTAGCATGGGCGCTTTTGATTAGCTTGTGGCATTCATTACCGCTGCTGTATGTAACTTTAGGGCGGCCAGCAAAGGTCATAGGGGGTGCATTGTATACTATCTGGGGATTACTTGGTAGGTGGAACATCTTAGAAACGGTGATTTCTCTGTCTATATAATTATGGTTCTACACTAATATTGTCTTCTGTAATGTGAGTGCAGCACCTATACATATTATATGTGTTCAATAAAGATTCGACGTGTGAAACCATGTCCTTATTAATTTGTATATTGTTTTTAAAAATTACATAATTGCTTAAAATTATGTGAAGTTCTATAAAGTTACTATAAAATGTATTTATGTACATTCGCTTTTCCATAGATTATAAAATTGTCTAAGTTTTCCAAGCTTTTCGGAAGTGGGGAAGTTACAGATTTTTTAATTGAAACTCTAGTGAGATCCCAGGAGCCGTGTGAACTTAGCAAGATTTTTCAAGCGAATATGTGCTACACATTTATTTCTAGTCCTATAGAGGTCAAGCGGAGTAAATGATTCATATTTTGAAAAAAAAATTATATTTTGAAATTTAAAAAAAAAATATGTCACAAAGTCTGCCTCCTTGGGCAAGTGGTCGTAAGTGCGACTGCCAGAAAGGGTCTCAGGTTGGATTCCCGGGTGAGGTAAAGTATAACTCGGTTTTAAAAAAAATCTCAGTAGTAGCACGGCGCCTGGAATTTTTCTCGGTATGGCAACAGGCTCACCCCCTATTACATGGGACTCATAACATAATAGTGTGGTAAAAATGGCTGTGACATTAAGTGCTGTAATGCGAACCTCTGCCTACCCCTTTGGGGATTAAAGGCGTGATGTTATGTTTATGTATAACTCACAAGGAGTTTGAAATAACTTTTTGAAATAGGCGATATTTAGTTTATTAAATCATATCGATATGTATCAATAATAAAACGATTATCGATTATAGTTGAAAGCTTTTCTTATGCGTGATGATTATTCATGGTATTCGTATTGGCATTGAGGTCAATCAACTTATGTGTGAACTGGAACACCTGATATCCAACTTAATTATTCATAAAACGTATGACATTTGGAGGTGTTCACGGTCTGAAGTTTCGTTTATTTTCTTTGAAGAAATTATGGAAAATTCTATATTCCACTTTATTTGTTAAACAAAGCAATATCATACCTACTACTTGGTCGTTCATTTAGTTGTGTACTACGAGAAAGTATTGAAAATTTGTATTAAATGAATACGAAAATGTGTTTGTGTGGTTAGGTTTTTGTGCCTACAATTAATTACGAAGGTTCAGAGAGATATAGGCTACTCGTTTTTACCTTACCCACGCATATGAAATCGTGATTAACTCGTCGAGTACCGGTTTTGTAGACACAATTATAGAACAATAGGTTGCGGTCACCGGTGACCGCTTGGTGTTTGACAGTTTAAACAACCAGTAACCGTAATAGCATTTTTGAGTAGATTTTGACTACGAAAATGGGTTTATGAAGGTCAGATATTATCTTGCTAGAGGTATTTTGAGAACATTAAATCTTATGTCGTATAATATATATATATATGTATGTCATAATGTCAATACAAAAGCTGTAATTCGCGAGCTTATACAAAGCAAAAATCGCTTCTGTTGTTCCGTGTGACATGACCCTGAGTCTGGCTGCGAAAAGTGGTAGTTACAACGTAGCTATGCACCCATAGATACCTAATCCACTATGAAGATTTAACTGATGTGGCGATGTATTACCACTGTTGAAAATTGTAGTGACGAAAATACCAAAAAACATATTTTAATGGTTTTGTACGGATTTTTTTTTTTATATATAAATTGACTTTACGAACTACCTAATCGCGGTAATATTCTTAGTGAGTTATAAAACAATAACTGATTAATAGTTATTTAGACAATTTTAGTAATTAAATTGTAAATGACCTTTACTTTTCAAACTGCATTTTTATAATGGTTATTGTAACTTTAAGGTAGGTACTTATTGGCCTATACACACACATGTTTGGTACTTATTGGCATTTAACATTATGAGAACAATTGTACGTATTTACGATATATTTTTGTATTTCGAATTTTTTAATTATGAATAAAGTTTAATTTTATTATTATAAAGACTGCCTCGTTGGCCGAGTGGTCGCAAGTGCGTCTTGCGACGACTTGCCCAGCA